ATAGGTATAAATAAATAACACGTTAAAATAAGTTATAACAGAATTTTGTTTAATAGTTTTTAGTTCAATGTATCAAAATGAGGAAAAGGTTTCGTTCTGTGACAAATAACTTATAATGGATAAATTTCAATATATAACGATAATATACGAGTATTCAGTGGCTAGGATAATACGGAATTATTAATCAAAATTTATCAAATAAATTAATTGCTATTAAATAAATTATCTTAAACGATTGATCCACTTAAGAGATTATTTACACCAGATTAATTTGCAATGGTTTTAGTAAGGAAGATAAGCCAGATTTTATAATAGAGAAAATTCTTGTCAGCTTTTTTAAGTACAGTTTAGACGTGAGAGGGGCGACTTTTGGGAAGACCCGACACTGATTGGAGTTTTTTCCATTATTATTATTGGAATAAATAGGTTTGATTTACTAATAAATCATCGTACAAAATTAGTTCATGCAGGAATTAAGTTCGTAAGGCTGGGTTTCACTGATAAAAATATAAAGTTGATCAATGCAACGATTCCCGACAACACTGCCGCTGCGATCTCTCAGTCTCATACCGAAGACAACAATTATATAATGATGGTATTCTTCTAAGTTTAAGAATAAAGGCTAAAACTAAAAAAGTTGCATAAAACATTTTACTGAATAGAAGTCCTAGATAAACAAAACAGAACGTTTACTGAACGTCTATTCAGTAAAATGTTTTATGAAATTTTTTTAGTTTTAGCCATTATTCTTAAACTTTGATGGTATTCTTTTCATGGATATTCTGCTTTCAATGAATATAATTTTTAAGTTCTGTATTGTGTTCGGGGGTAAGGACAATATGGTTACTTTTATTTCACAATTGTAAATAAAAATATTCAGCAAGACTACAACTGTACATTTTCATAATATTTGAAATTGAACAAAAATTTTCCCTGAAATGGATCAAGTTCTAATACCTACGAGAATTTGTTGCCACATTATTGTTGCAAATTCCTCAAGACAAATAGATTACATATGTTACTTTATCCAAAACGACTGTATCGTAGCCTGTATGTGTACTGTAGTAGAGTGTAGTAGAGTGTAGACTGGACGACACCAACGGCAACGGCATTACGGACACGCATCACAAAAATGTTGTAGTTTGTCCTTGTAATTTATTTTTTCTCATTTTCTTTTGAAATAACAAAAAACGTTCATTTAGGCACGGTTCCTGCGCAAATATTACAATAACAATAAATTTGTGTGTGCCAAATTGTGTATGCCTTAATTATGCATTGAAAATTATTTAATTTATTTTAGATTGTCAACAACTGAAACTTCATTCCTGAACGATCTTTATGTCACAATATCAGGTTTAAAAGAGACTAAACCCTAATTTAGCTCTGCAAGACCAATTTACTGACGAAATGCGGTAAATTTCAAGTGTGATTTGGCCTCAAATTGAGCATTTGTAATGAAATTTAGAAAAATGTACCTGACATTTCATTATGTATTGAGAAGTTTATTTAGTATTATCATTTATTATGTTCATTTATTAGTACGTTTATTCCTTACTTAAAATTGTTCGCTCTGACGCTAATCCCATGATGATGGATCTAATTTTATACCGGTTGAGATCTGTAATCTCTTTAACAAAATATTTATACTTGAATTGTTATCTTTGATTTAATATTACCTGTGCTTTATAAAAAGAATTCTTGCGGCAAAAACAGTCGCTGTGTACAGATTTTTTAGACAAAGTGCATCTGCATTTTTTACGCGCGACGAGTCGACGATGCCGCCTTGCAAGTCCAGAGTTGCCAACCGCCTCAGTGTCGTCGTGACGGTCGGTGTGGAAGGTTGTCGTCGCGCTCCAGCGACTGATCATTAGTGGACACAAACATACTCCTTGGCCTTTATAATTTATGCTAGGTTCACAGAACGATCACTTTTGTTCATTATTAATTAATATTTCCCATTCTTCCTAGCCTTGATTAGCATTTGTTTTAATTAGCTTCATACCTGGGCACATACTTTTTTTAAAGTAAACTCCGCTTGTTCAAAAGCACCTCGGTGCCAATATTTCTTTTTGGGCATTTTTCTCTGCCCAAAAAATCAACTGCAAGTTTACTGATGAGTCATTCCAGGATTTTCGTGCATGAATATAACCCTAAAAATGAAATTAATCTATTCTTATCCTGAATTTGAATATTCGAGGTTCAGGTTTAGCTCACGAATTGATTTATTATTATTAATTAATTGAATAATTTTGTGCTTTATAACTTCACTTATCATTTTACGAACCATATTTTTATTTCAATTGCAGACGACAATTTCCTAAAACATTTTACCGTTAATGAGCAACTTTTGATCAATATTGTACAATTTGTTTACTAGTTCAATTTTATTTAATTAATTATGTACGATAATTGGTCATTAGCGTGTGCCTCATTGGCGCTAATAACGAGCCTTCTTCTCATTAACGGCCAGCAAGGTGAGTCTTGACTAATCTTAATTAGAAATTAATCATGTTTTTGGATTTATAATTGAAATTATTTGTGCATAATTAGTGCTTGATTTTATGCACTTATTGTTTAACAATTTCATTTTTCACGACCATAAATGAATTTTCTCCAATTTTTAACACAAAAAATTATTCTGTTTAAAATTCATTACATCATTTTGTTGTAGATGCGTGAAAAAAACTAACAACAATTAACGTGGCCGTGACATTATTACGTTATTTAATGTAATAATTCAAATCGTCAATATTATTCAAAATTAATATAAATTATTACCGATTTTATGGTGACCTTGGCTATTCAGGAACTGAACCATGAATAAATACATGAATAGATTTTGTGTTGCATGAATAAACATTCGAATGGCCAGTATACAGACTACACAGGACGCTAACACAAGTCCTGCTTCCTGAAAATTATTTGTATTGATCGCCAAATTATGTAATTAACAGGCCCGGTAATAGTACAATTAGTCTGTGTTAATAAACGGGCAATTGCAGACTTGATAATTGTGCCCTGAATAATTTCAATTAATCAGTCTCTTAGTCATTATTATTATTTCAGAAAATGAAATATTAATGAAGAAAATTATTATTATTAAAGAGACATCACGGCCAGATTTACGCAGCAGAAAAATAATTGGGAAATATTGTCCGAATAATAACCCATTTCTTAATCGCAGCACGAGCAGAGAGCGGACGTAGATACGCACTTTTGCCGGGCCGAAGTGAGTCAGGATGACCCAACGTCATATATGGATGCATAAAATGCATACATATATGGACAATGAGTGACTCATTTTGATGAGTGATAAGAATCGTTCCAGCTCGCCGACGCCGGAAATTCGTCGGGGAATTCGTAGGTTTTTTTTTGCGATGACGCACGACGTCAGAGCTGACGTCTGTGTAGTACACAGACGCTGTGTACACTCAGAGAACACAGACGCTGTGTACACTCAGAGAACACAGACGCTGTGTACACTCAGAGAACACAGACGCTGACGTCGGCATCTTCCAGGAAATGCTGTTGTTGTTGTTGTTGTTGTTGTTGTTGTTTTTACATGATTGAGTTTGTTATGAAGAATTAAAATGATATATTTCTACATATCTGGGCGCATAACAACAACAAATTATTTTAGTAGAGACAAATACTACAGAATTTGGCTTGACTTAGACCGCCTTGACAGGCGTTGACCTTGACCTTGGCCTTGCCTGCTTCACGGAACCATCCTTGCAGGATACAAGCCTTGTCTTGCACACCTCGTTGCTGCAACAACAATAACAACAACAATAATAATAATAACAATAACAACTATAACAACAATAATAACAACAACAACAACAATAATAATAACAACAACAACAATAACAGCTACAAATAACGATAATAACAATTACAACAACAATAACAGCAATAACAAGAACAGCAACAAATAACAATAATAACAACAGTAACAATAACAACAACAATAATAATAATAACAATAACAACTATAACAACAATAATAACAATAACAACAACAATAATAATAACAACAACAACAATAACAGCTACAAATAACGATAATAGCAATTACAACAACAATAACAGCAATAACAGCAACAGCAACAAATAACAATAATAATAATAACAGCAGTAACAATAACAACAATAAAGACAGCAATAATAACAATAACAACAACAAGTGGGGGCCTCCGACCCCCGCACAACTTAGAGGGGGGGGGAGGGGGGCAGGAGATGCCCAAACGACCGTCCAAATTTAAGTTAATAAAATAAATTAATATAGTTAATAGTTGAATAGGTAATTAAAATAAATAAAGGAATAAATAAATAGTTAGTCTTAGTCAGAATAAATATGGTTAAAAAATTCTGAATATTTTGAAAAGAAAAAACGTAAATACCATCACATCAGGCACTCATTTTACTTTACAGCCGTTAAGCCTGCACCGTAATAGAATAAATATCATTAATTACCTTTAAATCACAACCGTAACCTTAAATCCGTAGCCGTAACCGTACACATGAGCCGTAACCGTACACATGAGCCGTAACCGTACACATGAGCCGTAACCGTACACATGAGCCGTAACCGTACACATGAGCCGTANGATATGTTATCGGACACACGTGTCATACTTATCCTTCACTTCATTAGTCATGTGACCCGATCCTCAGGTAGAGCTTAATCTAGAATTATTTGGGACATAAATATAGTTTGTTTTTCATTTTCTTCAGGTTAAGTTAGTCAAGTTAGGCTAGGTTAAGTTTGCGGGCTAGGTCGGGCTATGCTAAACTAAGTTAAATTAAATAAAGCTAGGCAAGTTTAAACCTGTTTTTGTCAGGTTAAATAATGTTAGGTTTCTAAAAATATCAAGTATGTAATGCAAACTAATGCAAATTGTTCCCTATATATAACAGCCTAATGATCGTTATCTGTAAACATAACAGCCTAATGATCGTTATCTGTAAACCTAACAGCCTAATGATCGTTATCTGTAATTGCAGCGTTCGCTAACTGCGCTAACGACGTCTTCTGTGCCGCCGACACCGTCATCAACTACATGACCAAATTCAGACAAGTCAGTTCTAAAATAATATCATAATCATTGTGATATTTAATCATAATCAATATTATCATGTTAGTAGTATTATCGTGTTAATATTTTTATTCAAAGCGCACATTATATTCACCTCTGCATATAATATTTTTTATTGGAATTTCGTGAATAACTTATTTCTGATTTTATTTTTAGCACATAAATATTTTGGTGACGAGTATATAATTAATATAGTTGCAATAATTTTTCTAATATAAATATCAATTTTTAAAATTGCCTACTGCCAAACAATAATTCTAATTCACGATAGGAAATAAATATTCTACAAAATATTAAATTCAGTATTAAATCGCAAGTTAACCAGGAATTTAAAAGCAAGAAAAATACCACAAAAATTCAACATATCTTTTCATCGTCAGTTCATATCACAAAGTTCAGTTCAGAAGAAGTTCAGTCCTAGAAACACAAATACAATCAATTAGTAAAGTAAAATCCACTGTCAGGTATTAAAACAGAAACAAGCAAATGAGACATGAACCGAACGTAAGTAAACTGGCCTATCTACTTACGATTACAAGAGGAAAGGAGCTAAAAGCGGCATTCAGACTAGACTTCTGTTTGAATATATACAGGGATTCTAAAATTCGTAGATCAGTAACACATGATGTGGAAGCTAGAAACTTCAAAATCACTATCAGATATAGTGGTGTTGCACTGCTCGGCATGAACTCGTACAGCAGAATGAGGTGGATGGCAAGTAGGTTCCTCGTTCTGTAACTCCTGCCCTTATGCTCAGCCAGCCTAGTATAGAAATTGCGTGACGTCACACCGACGTATGCTGACGCGCACTGCGCACAACTATATCTGTAAACTAGGGACGCACCGTTTCCAAACTTCTGTTTTTAGAAAATCGACATTTACCGGCTTAATCCCCGGCTTTCTTAGCTTTTGTTTATTTCGTTTCAAATTAAATGGCATCCAAACATTAATAAACCGTTGCTTTCACATTTGCTCTACTTTCCTAGCCATGCACGCCAAATTTGATTTTTTGCGCAGAATCTTTCACTAAATGGCTTTCCATCGCTCCTGGTGTTTACCAAAATCATTAAGTTTATGTCCAAGCAATATACTGAAGTTGTTCGCAAGTGTGACAATAGGAACGTTGTTTACTGTTTTTTTCCTTACTTTGGCCCCGCATCTAAGGTATACATATACTATATGAAAGGAATTGAAAGATTTATTCGCTAAATACCTTCCGGATATAAATGTTCGTGGGTTGTTAGTTAACAATTTTAGAATCGGCTCGTTTTTCAGGTATAAGCATACCCTCCCCGTTTTTAAGCGATCGTCACTAGTTTACAGATATAGTTGTGCGCAGTGCGCGTCAGCGTACGTCGGTATGACGTCACGCAATTTCTATACTAGGCTGGCTGAGCATAAGGGCAGGAGTTATAGAATGGGAACCTACTTGCACATCCACCTCATTCTGCTGTACGTGTTTATGTCGAACAGTGCAACACCTCTGTATCTGATAGTGATTTTAAAGTTCTAGCTTCAACATCCTATGTGACTGATCTACAAATTTTAGAATCCCTATATATATTCAAACAGAAGCCTAGTCTGAATGCCGCTTTTAGCTCCTTTCCACTTGAAATTGTAAATAGATAGGCCCGTTTACTCGCGTTCAATTCATGATAATTATAAAGACTTTAGAAGAGTTTCTTCTAAAAACATTCGGAGCTCAACCGCGATTTGCCCTCCCGCGCGCAAGAATATTAGCAGGAATAACAAGGAATATTACGTTGAATATTACGAGGAATATTAACAAATAATATTTTACCTTACAGGACTGTAACGGCGACGGTCTGGTGGACTGTGAAGACTTCGCTTACATTCACGTGCTGGGGGGCTACGGCTGCCGGGGGGCGGACTTCCCATCCAGTCCCTTCTACAGTCGCTTCAGTAACTGCAGGAGGGTGCTGCAGGCTGCAGGTGCCCCCTAACTGCTGCAGGAGGAGGAGGGTGCTGCAGGCTGCAGGTGCCCCCTAACTGCTGCAGGAGGAGGAGGGTGCTGCAGGCTGCAGGTGCCCCCTAACTGCTGCTGCAGGAGGAGGGTGCTGCAGGCTGCAGGTGCCCCCTAACTGCTGCAGGAGGAGGATGTTCACTAATTCATTTCGTCATAATTGGCTAAAATTAGCTCACTAATTATATTCCCATTGAGATATTAATGATATTTAGCGTTATATATATCGTTCCTTGATAATCGTTGTATCGTTATATATATACCAATACTTCGCTATATTCATCTTACTTGAAATTTCGAAACAAATTATTCGATTTTTTAATTAAAAATCAATATTAATTTTTCCATAGGGATCAATGTCAAGCTCTGAATTTATTCAAATGTCGCAAGCCTGTAATAGTTTAATTCAGTTTGATATTAAAATTAAAAGTATTTTGGTTCTCTGATTCTCCATTTACGGGAAAACATTTCTAGAACTTTTAGTCTAGACGCACCGGCATTAAGAGTTCAGTGCAGCGAATATTGATTAATTGAAATAAAAAATGAATAGTTTTCACACTGCGAATAAACAAAATTCGCCTTCCTCTTCTTACTTCATATTTCTCTTCTTCTTGGTGTACCTTTCTCTTCTTCCTTCTCCTTTCCCTTCTTCCTTCGCCTTTTTCCTTTCTCTTCTTCCTTACCTATTCTCTTCTTCCTTCGCCTTTCTCTTCTTCCTTCGCCTTTCTCTTCTTCCTTCGCCTTTCCTTTTTTCCTTCACCTTTCCCTTTTTCCTTCGCCTTTCCCTTTTTCCTTCACCTATCCCTCTTTCCTTCACCTTTTCCTTTTTCCTTCGCCTTTCCCTTTTTCCTTCACCTTTTCCTTTTTCCTTCACCTTTTCCCTTTTCCTTCACCTTTCTCTTCTTCCTTCACCTTTCTCTTTTTCCCTCACCTTTCTCTTCTTCTTGGTGTACTTTTCTCTCCTTCCTTCTCCTTTACCTCTTTCCCTCAACTTTCTCTCTTCCTTTACCGTACTCCTTTCCTTTCCCTTCACCTTTCTCTCCTCCCTTCACCCTCCATGCAGCATCAGCACTGGCCGAGTATATCCTTTATCCTGAGTAAGATTCGGCAAAGCAATTTATGCAAATAATGCCGTAAGATCTTTTTTAAGCGCAGACTTGGCCCCCATTTCAGACCTATGCGAGTCTTCTCATCATAACCATGACAATCTTGTATTTAATATCGTTGAATTCGTCGTACCGTAGGGAATGTTGTCATTAACCAGCTCTCGATATCCACTAATCCGTTGATTAATTACTGTTTTTTTAGCGAATTCCGTTTAGTACCAGGATACGGAATTCTGTTTTGTACCAGGATACGGAATTCCGTTTTGTACAAGGATACGGTATTCCGTTTTGTACCAGGATTCGGAATTCCGTTTTGTATCAGGATTCGGAATTCCGTTTTGTATCAGGATACGGAATTCCGTTTTGTATCAGGATACGGTATTCCGTTTTGTACCAGGATTCGGAATTCCGTTTTGTATCAGGATACGGTATTCCGTTTTGTACCAGGATACGGAATTCCGTTTTGTACCAGGATACGGAATTCCGTTTTGTACCAGGATACGGAGTTCCGTTTTGTACCAGGATACGGAATTCCGTTTTGTACCAGGATACTGAATTCCGTTTTGTACCAGGATACGGAATTCCGTTTTGTACCAGGATACTGAATTTCGTTTTGTACCAGGATATGGAATTCCGTTTTGTACCAGGATACGGAATTCCGTTTTGTACCAGGATACTGAATTCCCTTTTGTACCAGGATACGGAATTCCGTTTTGTACCAGAATACGGAATTCCGTTTTGTACCAGGATACGGAATACCGTTTCATTCCCAGTTGCCATCACGACTTTTCCTTTGATTTGATCCTTTGATTTTAAATACCTCGGACTTCATAGCTAGTTGGTACGGAAAATTTTTTTTCATTTTTTTATAAGTTTGCACTTCTCCTGCTAACCATATTTTTGCTGTGTCTGTGTGTTACTAGTGCTGATATTGTTGTTCTTGTAACTCCCATATCTTCAGGGCCTACACTTTCAAAAAAAGTTAAGAGATCGTAAGTTCATCAGCCAATTATTGACGGCCTTTCAAGCAAAATCCACCAATCATGGATATGAAAATAGAGCGTAAGAACTTACGTTCACTTAGCAAATTTTGAAAGTATGGCCCAGGTATACGGAATAAAATTTAATATTTCGTAAGCTCCGGTCTGCAGTTTAGCGGAACATCGAATTTATTTTACGATTTTATTAACGGCTTCTGATGCTGGTATCTTGACTTAGATATTTACCTTGGGTCGTCATAATTAGTTATTGACAAATGGGTACCGTACCTTAAAAGTTTAGAAAAATTTGAATATTGGTTTTTTATTTTCCATGTTTTGCGGCGTTGATTTTCTAATTCGCAAAAAATTGGCTGTAAAATTTTCGAACTGTGTTGAAAATGTAACTAATATTTTTATTGGTATTGCTGATACCCGCAGATCTCTCGAATGTGTATTTTTTATCGAAATTTTTATTATTAATCGCTTTGAAAAGCTCATTTTTGCGGATGCATCGTGCATTATTTTGCAAAAATTAAACTCGAATAATTGGTTCGTTTTGGCTTTGCTTTACAGTATATCAATTACTACTTTTTTATTATATTATTGATCGGGAATCCAGAATTAAAAATTTCTGGAATCCCAATCCCGCCATTCCCAAAATTAATAAAGAAGCTTACGTGCTGTGGGTAATTGTTAATTACCTCACTAATTGCATTCCTTCCAGTAATATTAGTAATTAGCTAGAATTAAGCAATTTTTTAATAATACCTAATTTAACTTGAATACGATCATTGAACAAAAAGGTTTGAACGTTTTGGTAACATATAATTAATGTTGACATTGAAATGTTCAAGGTCGACATTTCTTTTAACCGATATTTTAAATAAATAAACTTTAAGAAATGAACGTTAAAAAATAAACATAAATTGTTACCCGATATTTCAAATAGAATTTTGTGTAACTTCCTCATGTAATAAATAATGTAAATTCCTCCTACAATAAATATTGTAATTTCCGCATACAATAATATTTGTGTACACGATTAATAAACAATAATTGTACTCAAGTTTGTATTAATAAAACACAGCAGTAAAGACCAGTTGTATTTCAGAGCTCCCTCCCCCCTCCATACAAATACAAAAAAACACACACGCGACCACTTAATTAATAATCAACTTAGCAATTAATACAGACTCAATTAACTAAACCAACACCAATTAATTCGTGAACATCGCAAAATCCAATTATTTATTACTAAAAAAAATATTGTACTGAATGTGCGGAAAATTGAAACTTATAATTGTGTATAAAATTAAAAGTTCCTTTGATTGATTATTTTGCATTAAAAATGCGATAAATTTCAATTATTAATTGATAATTGAGGTATTTTTCGGTTGAAAAATTGGAAACAATTGAAAAATTGTTTTTCATACTGCGATAACAATGATTAAAATGAGTTTAAAACAATGATATTAATTATATTTAATGATTTTTAAAGCAGGGAATGCAAATAAGGTAAATTCAAAAATAATTTTTTCACACGAATTTGTAAAATAAATTGAATTGTAAAAAAATATTGTAAACAAAGTTGATGTAAGAGTGAAGAACAAGAAAGAAGAAAACAAAAATTATCACAAATTTTGAAAATTATGAAACGAAAAATCGATATTTAAATTTTCTTTGAAAACAAAATTTATGAAAGCACAGCTGAAAAAATAGCAAAGGAACGAAAATAGAAAGAAAAAATAGGGAAAATAAAAAAAGACGAAAACTGAAAAAATATAGAATGAAAATCAAAATAAAAAGAAAGGAAAATAGAAATAAAAGATGAAAATAGCAAGAAAAGAAGGAAAAAAGAAAGAAAAGAAGGAAAATGGGGAAAAAAAGAAGGAAAATGGAAAAAGAAAGAAAGTGGAGGGTGGGAGAGCGTGAGAAAGTTAGCATGAAGGTCGCTATTGTAATCATGCTAGTTACATGCTAGTGGTAGCCCGCTGCTATGTACACAATATATACAGTGAACACACACGCACACAGCTTATCTGTATAGAATGTACACAATCTTACGTCTACAGCAGCTCTGTATTAAAAGTGTTAACACAAAGTGTACGTACACACATAGCGTGTTTGTAAACTATGTAAATTACAGAATTGTTGAAGAAAATCGCAATTCGGTTTAGAATTGTAACCAAATTCGATTATTGTTTACACAGAGAAACTTTCCAGGTATTGCAGTACAAATATTGTGTGGATTATACACACAGCTACACAGCTTGTATGTTGATTCAACACACAGTAAACTTATTGTAATAATATAAAACTTTTGATACGCCACAGTACGCATCAAATTATTATTTAAACCACGAGTCTGTATGAACCGCGGGTATGTATGAACCACGAGTCTGTATGAACCGCGGGTCTGTATGAACCACGAGTCTGTATGAACCGCGGGTCTGTATGAACCACGAGTCTGTATGGACCGCGAGTCTGTATGGACCGCGGGTCTGTATGAACCGCTGGTCTGTATGAACCGCAGGTCTGTATGAACCGCGGGTCTGTATGAACCGCGAGTCTGTATGAACCGCGAGTCTGTATGGACCGCAAGTCTGTATGGACCGCAAGTCTCTATGGACCGCGGGTCTGTATGAACCGCAAGTCTGTATGGACCGCAAGTCTGTATGGACCGCGGGTCTGTATGGACCGCAAGTCTGTATGGACCGCGAGTCTGTATGGACCGCAAGTCTGTATGACTGTATGAACCGCGGGTCTGTATGAACCGCGGTCTGTATGAAAAATGATTTTATATGAACCACACAAAATATTCATAGCTGAAGGCATTATTAAGAGCTTCACAATCTCCCGCGTGTGTAACAATACAATAAATGAGATAAGACAATTCATCCATACAATAAAGTTCACGAGGTTTGTTGAATTCATACATTTGTGTGCAATAATTAGTTACATTTAATCTGGATCATTTTTATCAGTTAACTATGATCATTCATAATCATGATCATCATTTACTCGAGTATTACAATAATTACAATGAATGATTCATGAGATTACAATAATACAATCATTTATCTCATTACAATAACTACAATATATATAAACCTCGCAACAATACGGCTCGTTTTGCTAAATCTAAACCTACTTTATATTCACATTTGATTTCAAGAGGCCTATGCTAAGTTCGGGAGGCCTACAAAATTTTTTTAATTGATGACTCCGATAGGCCTAGTAAAATTATTTTGAGATAAGTCGAAAAAAAATTTAATTTCTAAAATTCATCAAAATTGACAAAAAAAAAATTCTACCCTAAAATTAATTGAGGAAGTTTGACATGAAGCTAAAATTTTCCGCTAATGACCTATAGGCCTAAAAAATAGCTCACACAGACGCATTTAGACCAGCCAGGAAATAGGCCAAAGTTGGGGTTCATTTCTTGAGTTTAGGCCCACCAGGAAATAGGCCTAGGTTGGGGCTCATTTCTTAGGCTTATGTCAGGAAATAGGCCTAAGATGGGGGTTCATTTCTTGGGCTTATGTCAGCCAGGAAATAGGCCTAAGTTGGGGTCCATTTCTTAGGCTTAAACCAAGAAATAGGCCTAAGTGGGGTTCATTTCTTAGGCTTATGTCAGCCAGGAAATAGGCCTAAGTTGGGGTTCATTTCTTAGGCTTAGGCCCGCCAGGGGACATTAGGGCCGCCAAAAAGTGCGCTGGCGGAACATTCCCGCCGCTCCCACCGCTGCTGGCGGCGGCGGCCGCGGCGTTCCCAAGGAAATTTTTGTACATTCCTAAATTTGCGAGCGCCTCGGGGGAGACCCCAGAGTTCGAGGGTCCCCCCATGGGGGGTGAGCTTAATAACCCCGCTGGTCCCCCCAACCCCAGGCTGTTGAGGTGGGCCATCTGTACCGCCTGGTGAGCGGCGGACAGAGAGGACAGAGTGGACGAAGTCGAGGACGAAGGGATTAATGAATTGTAATAAGCGGCGGCTAAAGGGTTGCTGTCCATGTAGGGGAACATGTGGGGGAGACCTGGGGGGATACCTCCTCCAGGGGTGCTAGGAGATGAGGAAGAGTTCTTCGTGTTGGCTGAGGTACTCACCCCCATCAGGAAGGGGAGAAGAGACCCAGAAATGCTGCTGGGGGGCAAGGACCCCGGGGGGAGCCCTAGACCAGCTAGTCCCGGTGGTAGACCATGTGGGTTTAGACCCTGGGCAGCAGCAGCAGCAGCAGCCATGAGTGCAGCACCTGGCATGCTGTTCATGAGGTTCGATAACTCAGCATTACTCATGCCCCTTGGTAACTCAGCATTCCCCATACCTCCTCCCCCGGGGGAACGAAAGTTCCTGTTGTTGTTGGGGGTGATGGTGACTCCCCCATCCAATGATGTAGTTGATGATGATGATGATAATGATGAAGGTTTATGATGCATTAACGAAGATCTGGAATGTTTGTTCAATGTTAACGGTTTAGGTACGGCCGACACGGTTATGTCTCTTCTCGTTGAAAGGTCCAAAAGTTCGACGTCTAACCTTTCACTTTTACCACCACCTCTTCCTGTAGACTTAGTGGGGGCTAGACTGCAGGGGGGTCTGCTCAGGTCTAGGATTTGGATCTCAGGACTTGATCTTTTGCTGGTAGGGGTCTTGGGGGACGAATGTGGGGCTGGGCGGGCCGTAGACCCTCCCGCGTGGTCTGCGATGGGTTTGTCGTAGACCCGGCTGCTCTGGGCGTAGACGCTCTGGCTTTGGAAGACCCTAGGAGGGTCTGGGCGAGGAGAGTCCCCTTGTGAGGTCTTCAGAGGGGACCTGGAGGTCTGTTGGTGGGCTGCAGGGGCTGACGCGGGGAATATAGAGGTCTGGGGAAGCAAGGCAGCCAGGGCGTTGATGGTCTTGGTGCTCTGATGCGCCGGCAAAAGAAGTTTCGAGTTCGCGTCTAACAAATTCATAGACCTTAGTAGGTCTGCAGATACAAGGTCTGGCACGGTCTGTAGCTTGGTCAGCTCCGCCTGCAGGTCTAGACCGGACCTGCCCCCCAATGGGGACCCACTGACACCCAGAGGGTGGTGGGGAATGTGGTGGGAGTGGCGGGAGCTGGTCCCGACGTTCCCGACATCGCGGGTTCCGTTCATCAATCGTCCCCCGCCATCGTCGGGTTTGAACCTCTTGGCTGAGGGTTCACAACTGAGCCCCCCGACCCCAGGGGAGGCCGAAGCCCCGGCGGCGGCCACAGCGGCGGCCATCGTGGCCGCGGCCACCGCATTAAACGAATTCTTATCGAATTTCTTCGCAAGTTCCGACAAATTCGAAAGCGAATTTAAATCCAAAACGTTCAGCTCGGGGAGGTCGATCCCAAGGGCTTTGAGGTTGAGCCCCGACCCTAGAACCCCTAATGGGGATGAGGCAGCAGCAGCAGCAGCGGCTGCAGCTAATGTCTCATTAAAGGTGCGGGGGATTGGGGTGATGGTTATCTCGGGGCGCTTGGCGAGGTCCGCGGGGATGTGGGAGTCCTTCATCCCCACGCTGCTCATCTTCGGCACCTGTGGGGACATTTGGGGATTAGTGAGAGGGTTGGGGGTTAGTGCGGGGTTGTGGGGACATTTGGGGATTAGTAAGGGGGTTGGGGAGTTAGCAAGGGGGTTGTAGGGACATTTGGGGATTAGTAAGGGGTTGAGGAGTTAGTGCAGGGGTTGTGGGGACATTTGGGGATTAGTAAGGGGGTTGTACAGTCAAGAGCGTCAGTCAAGAGCGTCAGTCAAGAGCGTCAGTCAAGAGCGTCAGTCAAGGGCGTCAGTCAAGAGCATCAGTCAAGAGCGTCAGTCAAGGCTCACAGTCAACAACAAAGTGGAAACAAAAACAAAACAATACATTACAAAATTTAATAAATTGAATGAACTGTAAAAACAACAATACTAATAACAAAAACAGAAGCAATCAAGCAATATATAATATAATATGCCACACAATTATATATACAATAAAGAACACATACAATGATGTTATAAATAGCAAATAGCTAAACAAAATGGGAACTAAATAGAATTTAATTAGTTAATGAGACAACAACTAATGTAGCAGCAATTAATCAATAATCGATGTAGCAGCAATTAATCAATAATTGATATAGCAGATATTAATCAATAATTGATGTAGCAGATATTAATCAATAATTGATGTAGCAGATATTAATCAATAATTGATGTACGTAGCAGATATTAATCAATAATTGATGTAGCAGATATTAATCAATAATTGATGTAGCAGATATTAATCAATAATTAATATAGCAGCATTTAATCAATAATTGATGTAGCAGATATTAATCAATGATTAATGTAAAAACAATAACTATTAGGCATTGGTTGTGCTCTAATCAGCCATTGCTACTCATTAAATATCACAATTATTATCAGAAGACAAATTATTAATTGTACAACACTAAGAATTCCTTGATTATAATAAGCAAATAATCATCAATTATTATACCCAGCTGATAAATTGCCAATTATTTTTAAGTGATAAAACTATCAATTATAATAAATATTAATTATATTCAATTATATAACTTCGGATTTTTGCAGCATAATTCAACGATTAATTTAAAATTAATTGACGATAATCAGCAAAAATTAAACGTGATTATCAGTTGATAACTGTGATGAAACGCCATGTTCATCACTGCGCGAAGGTGATGAATCTTCGTGATGACATCCAGGGTGATGAATACGTCCTAGTCAAGAGCGTCAGTCAAGAGCATCAGTCAAGAGCGTCAGTCAAGAGCGTCAGTCAAGAGCATCAGTCAAGAGCGTCAGTCAAAAGCATCAGTCAAGAGCATCAGTCAAGAGCATCAGTCAAGAGCGTCAGTCAACAATATAGCGAAAAACAAAAACAGAACAAAAATACATCACAAAATTCAATAAATTGAATGAACTGTAAAAACAACAACAATAATAATAATAATAATAATAACAACAGCAATCAGTATATATAATATAGGTAATCCACCACACAATAGTAAAAACAATAATATATACAATAAAGAACCAACACATGCAATGATAAATTAGCAAATAAATTAGGAAAAAGCAAACTAATTAGTATTTCAATAATTAATTAGTCAACAATTGATGTAGTAGCAATTAGGCATTAATTAATTGCGCTCTTAATCAGCCATTACATTTCATTAAATATTGCAATTATCAGAAAACAAATTCTCATTATACTAAACTAATAATTTCTCGATTATAACAAGCAAATATTTATTAATTATTATAACCAGCTGATAAACTACCAATTATTTTCCAGTGAGAAAACTATCATTTACAATGAAGAAATTGATTATTAATTATATTCAATTATATATATAGTATAATTATAACCTCGGATTTTTGCAGCATAATTGAATGATTAATTTCAAATTAATTGACGATAATCAAAGCAAAATTAAACGCGATTATCAGTTGATAACTGTGATGAAACGCCATGTTCATCACTGCGCGAAGGTGATGAATCTTCGTGATGACATCCAGGGTGATGAATACGTCCTGAGTGATGAATGCAGGTGCTGGTGATGAATGCTGGTGCTGGTGATGAATGCAGGTGCTGGTGATGAATGCTGGTGCTGGTGATGAATGCAGGTGCTGGTGATGAATGCTGGTGCTGGTGATGAATGCTGGTGCTGGTGATGAATGCTGGTGCTGGTGATGAATGCAGATGATGAATGCCGTTGACATTGATGAATACGGTGATGAATACCAGTGATAAATGGTGATAACTCACCGAGAAGAGTGGTGATGTCACCACACCGCTGGCAAACAAAGCTGCACCATTTTTCTGATCATTATTGGGTGGTGAAGCACGGTGGTGCTGGTGGTGGTGGTGAAGATGGGTGATGATATCCACGGGAGCAGACCAGGTGGACGTGGTGGTGGTGGTGGTGGGTGATGAATCCATGCGGGTCATCACACTCGATTTGTCCTGAACCTACGGCACCACACAAGTGATGACAACACCACACAATTACTGTCTGTGTACTTAACGTCACCAAACAGGTGATGACAACACCACACAGGTGGTGAAAACACCACACAGGTGGTGAAAACACCACAGGTGGTGAAAACACCACAGGTGGTGAAAACAGCACACAGGTCACCACCACAAATGGTGTGATGATAGCAGTTCAACATGTGATGACATCACCACATTGTGGCGGCCAACCATTAAAATAATAGTGGTGCATTTCCATAAACTTGTCACCACACCACCACTATTTTCAGTGTTTTTATTCTATAATTATAACTAATAATATAATTTTTATAATAATAACTAATAATGTTATTTCGATAATAATAACTACGGACAGTAATAATGTAATTTTTATAATTATAACTAATATTATGATTTCGATAAAATCACTGTATGCGTTTTCGTTCTCATCTTATTGTATTTATTGTACTAAAATTCCACATCAAATTCAAAGGTTTCCAACACAAAAAAATTTACAAGAATTTCAACACATAGAAGTTTAAAACACACAACGGGAATTCTAACACAAAACCAGAATTTTAACACAAAAAACACCACACAAAACAACAATGTGTGGGGGCGATGGACCAATCATTTGATCCCCTCATCCTCATAATACAAAATACAAAAAATTAACACTAAATAATACAAAACAATACAAAAAAACTAATACAAAAAAACGAAACCATAAAAATACAAAAACATTACAAAACAATAAAAAAAATGCAAAACAATAAAAAAACATACAAAAACACAAAACAATACAAAAGAATACAAAACCACACAAGGCACACAAGTGTTGTTAGTTAAGAGACACAGACAACAGTTCTGTTGACCACAGCAACAGACGAAACAAACGAAGCAACAGACGACTGCAATAACTGCATTAATATGTACACAAAAACAGACATAAATTTAAAATATTAAGAACGATTACCATAGAAAACAAGACCAATATAGATTTTTTAATCCACACAAGATAAAAACGTATAAAAAACGAAGAATGTGAACAGAAAAACGATATGAAAATAAAAATTATAAGGAAAGATAGTGAAAAACGAATAAAAATAATAGTCATGACTATGAACAAAAAATAATACACAAAAAAATATTTAAAAAAAGTACGGATAGAAAAAAAATATAAACGTAAAAAATTAAAAATTAAAAAATATTATCCGGATAACAAAATTATTATGTCAATGAAAAAAATAGCAATACAAACAAAAAATATATAATTCATAATATAAGAAGAAAAATATAAGACGAACCTGCAGGATGGAAACAGAAGGCTCGCCGTCCTGTTGTTTCTTGCCGTTACTGTTGCGCGCAGCATGTTGCTGTTGTTGCTGTTGATGTTGTTGCATCTGTTGTTGTTGTTGCTGTTGATGTTGTTGCATCTGTTGTTGTTGTTGCTGTTGATGTTGCATCTGTTGTTGTTGCTGTTGGTGATGGTGCAGAGCTTTAGCTGTTTCTGAGCCGTACAGTCGCTTCTGTTCGTTCAACAGGAACTTCTCGTACGGGTACAGCAGCCTGTCAACAGGGGCGTGTCAACAGGAGGGTGTCAACAGGAGGGACTGTTGCTTACAGGGGTTCAACAGATGGGAGTTTTAGTGGAGGGGTTAAAAATAAGAGGGGTTCAACAGAGATGACTTTTAGTGGAAGGGTTAAAAATAAGAGGGGTTCAACAGATAGGAGTTTTAGTGGAGGGGTTAAAAATAAGAGGGGTTCAATAGAGATGACTTTTAGTGGAAGGGTTAAAAATAAGAGGGGATCAACAGAGGGGAGTTTTAGTGGAGGGGTTAAAAATAAGAGGGGTTCAACAGAGGGGAGTTTTAGTGGAGGGGTTAAAAATAAGAGGGGTTCAACAGAAGTGACTTTTAGTGGAGGGGTTAAAAATACGAGGGGTTCAACAGAGGAGACTTTTGAGTGGAGGGGTTAAAAAAGAGGGGTTCAACAGAGGGGACTTTTGAGTGGAGGGGTTAAAAAAAGAGGGGTTCAACAGAAGGGACTTTTGAGTGGAGGGGTTAAAAAAAGAGGGGTTCAACAGAGGGGACTTTCGAGTGGAGGGGTTAAAAAAGAGGGGTTCAAAAGAGGGGACTTTTGAGGAGGGGTTAAAAAAAAAGGGCTCAACTGAGGGGACTTGGATGGGGTCAACAGAGGGGACTTGGATGGGGTCAACAGAGGGGACTTGGATGAGGTCAGAGGGGACTTTTGAATGGAGGGGTTCAACAGAGGGGACTTTTGAATGGAGGGGGTCAACAGAGGGGACTTGGATGGGGTCAACAGAGGGGACTTTTGAATGGAGGGGTTCAACAGAGGGGACTTTTCAATAGTTCGGTCGGTTGGAAGGGTTGGAGGGCTGGGTTGTTAGGGTGTGTAGGTGGGGTGGGTGGCAAGAGTGGGTTAGAAGAGTGGGTTGGTAAGATAGGTTGTTGGGGTGGGTTGGAAAAGTGAGTTGAAAGGGTGGGTTGGAGGGCTGGGTTAAAAGGTTGGGTCAGAAGGGTGTCTTGGAAGGGTGGGTTGAAAGGACAGTTGGGTTGAGGTGGGTTGCCCACTCACCTCTCATAATGCCTCCTGATGACATTAGCAGAGGAGGGTGAGGGTGGGTTGGTGGGGTGGGCAGGAGGTGGGCCAGCCATCTGATCATATAACATCTTCCACTGCTTCTTAGCGCACACCGCCTCGTACCCACCCAGCTGCTGTACTGCGCTGAACAGCTCGAACACGTTCACTGCACAGTGTACAGTGTACAGTGTACTGGTCAGAGTACTGGTCAGTGTACTGGTCAGTGTACTGGTCAGTGTACTGGTCAGTGTACTGGGCCTATACTTTCAAAAAAGTTAAGAGATCGTAAGTTCATCAGCCAATCATTGACGGCCTTTCAAGCAAAATCCACCAATCATAGACAAGAAAATAACTGGTCAGTGTACTAGTCAGTGTACTAGTCAGTGTACTAGTCAGTGAACTGGTCAGTGTACTAGTCAGTGTACTAGTCAGTGAACTGGTCAGTGTACTAGTCAGTGTTCACTGCACACAGTGTACTAGTCAGTGTACTAGTCAGTGTAGTAGTCAGTGTACAGGTCAGTGTACTAGTGAGTGTACAGGTCAGTGTACTAGTCAGTGTTCACTGCACACAGTGTTCTCGTCAGTGTTCATGGTAGTGGTGTTAACATCAGGAACACTAACTTGACTGGCCTAACTTTACAAATACTACGCTATATAACTTGCAATATACCATCAAATCCATGTATGATATAGTCTATGTGCCATATAGCCTACATACGATATAATCTTATAATAGGATTAATGTTAATAAAATCAATAGAAAACACAGAAGGCAACGTAAGTCATGAGACGACTGAACAACTAGCAAAGTAAGTCTGCTGAAAATAATAATGATAATTAAATAGTTATATAATGCACAAAGTTGGAGCAGTGTATGAAACGGGCCGGGGTCGCACAGGGCCGGCCAGGAGCAGTGAGGGAGCAGGCATGTCCCTTTATGAGTCCTATATAATTAAATGCTGTACATCTTTCGCTTCAAACAATGGCGGTTTAAATACTGCTTCAATCCTGCTGGTAAGCGGCGGACAGGCCCTATCGGTGCTTTAATCCCGTTAAAATGAGGCAGGCATGCCCGATCCTGCTTGAATCCTGCTCCAAACCCACTGAAATGAGGCAGGCATGCCTGATCCTGCTCTAGACCTGCTCCAAACCTGCTGAAATGAGGCAGGCATATGCGATTCTGCTCTAAACCTGCTCCAAACCAGCTGAAATTAGGCAGGCGTGCCTGATCTGCTCCAAACCTGCTGAAATGAGGCAGGCATATGCGATTCTGCTCTAAACCTGCTCCAAACCAGCTGAAATGAGGCAGGCGTGCCTGATCCTGCTCTAAACCTGCTCCTAACCAGCTGAAATGAGCAGGCATGTGCGATCCTACTCTAAACCTACTCCAAACCTGCTGAAATGAGGCAACCGTGCCTGATCCTGCTCTAAACCTGCTCTGTTGCGTCAATTGGCCAAGGCGCCTGCTCCGAACTTCTATTTCACGATTCCTCACAAACTTGCGACACTAAGGGCTAATCATCTATCACTAATCTCTAATCACTAGAGACTAAATTACCACTAATCTCTAATCACTAGACCCTAATAAGTTACCACTAATCTCTTATAAGTAAAAAACTAAATAATAATCACACTTACGCTGGCGGTAGCCCACATAAGGCAGGCGCGTAATCAGTTATCACTAATCTCTAATTATAGACCCTAATCAATTATCAATTTATCACTAATCTCTAATCATTTGAGACTAATAAGTTATCATTAATGTCTTATAAATAAAAAACTAAATAATAATCACACTCACGCTGGCGGTAGCCGACATGGGGCAGGCGCGTGATGGGAGAGTTGCGGTCCCTCATAAACTTATGCAACTTCGACATGAAGTCAACTTCTATGAGACGATTCAACGCGGGTGTTGAAAAGTCCTGTTGTTGTTGCTGTTGTTGTTGTTGTTGTTGTTGACGATGGTGTTCCTGTTGTTGTTGGTGGTGATGGTGGAGTTGTTGTAACGAGTTTAGGTAACTTGGTGGTAGGTTATGGTGGTTATTTTTGTTATGGTTGCTGGTGGAGTTAGAGTTACCGTTGGTTGAAGAGTTAGTGGTGGTGGTGGTGACAGTTGAGTGTCGTGATGACTGTGGTGATGAGGAAGCATGATGATGGTTATGGTGATGATTATTATGGTTATGATGGTGTTGCAGGAGTTGGTACGAACTCCTAGCATTTACGTTAGCAATTTTAAGGTTAGGGTTGGGGTTAGGGGTTGAGACCCCGCGGATATTGAGAACCCCAGCTATTGGGTGCTTGGCTTTGCGGTCTAAAGCCCTGAGGCTGTTGGGCTTAGTGGGGACAGTGAGCCCGGGCTTGGCTTTGAGTTTTGGGGCTTGCAGGGCGTGGGGTTTAGCAAGTTCTTCGGTTTCCTCGGAAGATTCAGAGTCTGAGTTGTTACCCCCCGCGGGGGGCACGCCCCCGAGCAGGGGGGCGAAGGGGCGCTTCCTGTGCTTCTTGCGGGGGCGCCCTTGTAGCTTGGGGGCTTGGGGGGAGAGGGAGGGGGGAGGGATATTTTATTATTTTTTATCGTAATAAATATGATCATATTATATACAAATATTAAAATGTGGTACAATATTATAATGTTGTACAAATATTATGATGTTATAGGTATATTATATTTATATTTTACAATATATTATTACGTTTATTGTAAATTCAAATAATATTATTGTACCAACCCCCAACCCACCGCCCGAAGTTTGTTGTGCGCCGATATTCAGCCCACTCATTGAGCTCATTTGACCCACTACCCTCATGCCCCTCCTAACCCACTCATCCCACTCACCCAGATGGTTACACAGCAGATCATGCCCCTCCAGCTCCGGGTAGTCGAAGACATCCCTGCAGAAGAGGAGCAGGGTGTTGTGGGATGGCACCAGGAACCCACCAAGGGCCTGGACCACAGCGGACCTCATGTGGTGAGCCACACACCCCACCCGCGCCAGCACACTGCGTATGCGGCAGTAGCGGTCATAGGTCAGCACCACGGGGTGGGTCGTGGTGGGGGTGATGACGTCACCTGCGGGGGGAGGGGGGTTAAGGGTGGGTTTCTTATAATACGCATAAATAACTATATAAATATATATATGCAATATAGTCTATGTAAACACATAGACTATAGTCCATGTGTTTACATAGACATAGTCATAGACTACCGTATATAGTATAGTCTATATAGTATAAAACATGCTATATAGTCTATGTAAATATATAAATAAATATACGGTACGCTATATAACATATACGACTAGACTGGTTTCTATCTAGAGAGGATCGTTTGCTGCGGAGGAAGCAGTTCTAGAACTAGCCTAGAACTATAATAATTTAATACACTCCTAATCTAGAATTAATAATAATATATGCAATCCTTTTTCTATTAAGATCATTTGCAGTAAAAGCGAATTAAAAATACTGCTCATTTTCGACTATTATATTAATAATAACTTCGTAATTCTCAGTAGGTATCTCATTTTAAAAACTATTATATTTCGAAGGCTATTCTAGTGAACTAGTAATTTTTCTAATATTTTAATAAAACTACTCATTTTATGCCTGGTATTTCAACTAACTTGTCAAACTAGTCACTAAGCAGCCCCCTGCCGCCCCAAAACTCCCCCACCCCTACTAATTTTTTCTAATATTTTATTAAAACTACGTATTTTCTGCCTGGTGTTTTAACCAACTAGTCACACTAGTTACTAAACTACCCCCCTACCCCCACAACCACCCCCTATTAATTTTTCTAATATTTTAATGAAACTACGTATTTTCTGATAGGTATTTTAACGAACTAGTCAAACTAGTCACTAAAATACCCCCTGCCCCCACAACTCTCCCATACTATTTTTGAACATTTTAATAAAACTACGTATTTTCTGGCTGGTATTCAACTAATTAATCAAACTAGTCACTAAACTACCCTCCTCCCAACGTCGACGCCCCCCGCGACGGGGGGCGGGTAGTACAGCGTCTCGGGGAGCTCCTGTAGCTTCCTGTTATCATTCTTGTTATTACTGTTATTGTTCTCAATAGCGGCGGTAATAGCACAGGAATATTTGTTCTCCTTCTGGTCATGCTCCGTCTTGATGTTGTTATTGATATGGGGGTCAATAACGCCCCCCTCGAGGGGGGTTTCTGTTTTGATGGGGGACGACGGGGGTTCGTTTTTAATAGGAGTATGGTTATTTTCTGTTGTTCTGTTGCCGCTGTTGTTATTAACTGTTGTTTCATCGGTGATAACAACAACATCGCTGTTATTTTTCTCGTCTTCATTATTGCCGTTGTTATTAACAGCGCTGTTGTCGCCGTTAGTGCTGCTGCTGTTGTTCCTGTTGAGGGGGGGTGAGGGGGAGCCTGAGGGTCGGGGGTGGGGCCCGTAGACCCCCTTGAGGCCCGTGGCCCACTGCACGTCCTCAGCGGTGCGTATGAGGCCCACCAGGTCCTCTGCCCTCACCACCACCTTCTCGGAGAGGCACACCACCTCGTGCTGCGGGGGATAAATAAATATATTATAGTATAATATAGTATATTATAGGTTATTACATGGTAATATTATGGAACATTATATAGCAGGATATAATATAGTATATTATAGTGGTATAGTACAATGAATGGCATCATAACCTTCTCGGAGAGGCACACCACCTCGTGCTGGGGGGCGATAATTAAATATATTATAGTATATTATAAGTTATTATATGATAATATTATAGAACATTATATAGCAGGATATAATATAGTGTAATATAGTGCTATAGTAGCATGAACGGCACCACTACCTTCTCGGAGAGGCACACAACCTCGTGCTGGGGGGTATAAGTAAATATATATTATCGTATAATATAAGTTAAATAGCATTGGTTATTATATAGTATACTATAGTTATATAGTAACATTAACGGCACCATAACTTTATACGACAGGCACACATATACCACGTCGAACTGGGAAGGGGGGAGAGTGATGTACATTATACAATAATATACATAATATTGTACAGATATATGTTCCTCCTAAACCACTCAGCCTACTTATTATGATATACGATATAGAAATATATATGATATATTAGGATACCATAGTAATCCGAAATCCTGTATTCCCGTTGTCCCGAATCCTTTTAGTAATAATAATAATAATTATACTAAAAACAATAATCATAATGTGTGTTAAATGAGTGATTAATTGGTTAACGAAAAAAATACTTGAAATAACAAACAATTCGTGGAGATAAACGATTTTAAACAAAACTGACGATTCGTAGCAACAATCAGTTCGTAAAAAAAAAACAATTAAAAATTTTCAATTTCATCGCTTGTACAAGAACACACTCATAAACATAAATGAATCAACTTGTCCAAATCCTGACAAACTTAACTTGCTATACGTAGCACTGATACGCCCTTCTGCCGGCCCAAAACTGAGTCAGGATGACCCATACAAGGACAAAAAGTTCGTCGCTAAATAAAAAAATTCGTTTCCATATGGAAAAATTCCCACGAATTTCCCTGAGTGTGAAAATTGCGATGCCTACGCATATTCGTGCGTAGCTGAACTACGCAGCGCCGCGTTAACGAACGAAAGCGTAACACGGAGGGATTTTTTTTTTCTTAAGAAAGCCTAAAATAAACTTCCCGATAACAACAATGATAACGAAGATGATAACAGCGACGGTAAGAATGATGATAGTTATAATTAGTACGATAACAAAGACGACAATAAGAAGTCCGATGATTATGATAACAAGGACTATAACAACGCCCTTGTTACATGCATAATTATTTTAATTATTTATTTGGTTAGCTCATCTGTTAGTACATTCATTAACTTAAGTTATTAAGTTATTCATATTCATACACGCATGAATATGAATTACTTACATACATATACAGTGAATAAACTTAATAGAATTATACGAAGGCAAGTAAAACTGAACGCTTAATATTTACTATAAAAAGCAATTATATGTGAAGTAAACTTTGATAAACGACGGTGAAAAAATTATAATTGAATAAGGAAAATTATAAGTGGAATAATACAAGGAAAAAGAGACCTAGATATAGTGGAGGGCGGGGAGGGGAGAGGGAATATAAGGAAAATGTTATATTTATTTTTGTAGGGCGACGAGGAAAATGTCAGGAAGGGAGAATAATTAACATAATAACGATCGTTAAGTAGAAGGAAGGGAGAATAATTAAAATAACAACGATCGTTAAGTAGAAGGAAGGGAGAATAATTATGAGGGCAACGATCGTTAAGTAGAAGGGAGAATAATTATAAAAACAACGATCGTTAAGTAGAAGGGAGAATAATTATAAAAACAACGATCGTCAAGTAGAAGGGAGGGAGAATAATTATGAGGGCAACGATCGTTAAGTAGAAAAGAGAATAATTATAAGAGCAACGATCGTTAAGTAGAAGGAAGGGAGAATAATTAACATAATAACGATCGTTAAATAAAAAAATGGCAAGAAAATTAGGTGTAGCCTCGTAACGATGATAAACTGGAATAAGGAGGAGAGATAAAATGTCTTCTTGGGGGCCGACATGTTGGAGCGGGTGGGGGGAGAGAGAATGAGAGAGAATGAGAGAGAGAGGGAGAGAGAGAGAGAGAAAAAAAAAGAGAGAGTAGATAGAGAGAAAGGGAGAGAGAGAGAAAGAGAGAGGGAGAGAGAGAAAATGAGAGGAAGAGAGTAGAGAGAGTGAAAGGAAGAAAAAGAGCGAGAAAAATGAGAGAGTGAAAGGAAGAAAAAGAGCGAGAAAAATGAGAGAGTGATAAGGAAAGTGAGTGAAAGGGAGAGAGAGAGTGAAAGGGAGAGAGAGAATGATAGGGAGTGAAAGGAAATGAGAAAGAGAGAAAAATAGAGAGACTGAGAATGAGAGACAGAGGAAAATGGATAGAGAGAACTGACGGAAACAGAACAACAACAACAAGAAAAACAAGAGCAACAATGACGTCACGAGGCCCCGCCCCTCGACAGCGTGACGTCACCAAGCCCCGCCCCTCCATGTGCGTGACGTCACCGTCGTGGGTTCCAACAACACTACACGCACGAACACACGAACCACGCACACACCACCTGCTTGTCATCATTAGTGCTTAGGAACATACGAATATAATTGATGTGTTACCATATACCTCGATAATCGTTAGTGCGTTGAGCGCACGAATATACGAACGAGCATAAAAAATATATACGATTATCCGAACGAAAAATATAATATACGAATATACGAAGGAACATTTATAAAATATACAATATACGAAGGAAAAAAATATAATATACGAATAAACGAAGGAACATATATAAATATACGAATAAACGAACGAAAAAATATAATATACGAATATACGAACGAAAAAATATACGAATATACGAACGCATATACGGATGCACGAAATTGGATATGAATTCACGACCGCGGATCCCAATGCACGAAAGTCAATACGAATGCACCAATACACGAATGAGCGCGAATTAACAATAAAGTGCAAAAATACACGAACGGGTACGAATAAATGAAGAACCACGAATGCGTGAGTGCGAACAAATGACAAGCTACGAACTATCAACACGTTTCACGTCTCGTGCCTCACGAATACGCACGAAATGCGCACGAATATCACGCGAAAATAACATTAAAATATATCGGGAAATGATAATAAATGCCACCCGAAATAACAAACTAAATGCTAAAAAATGGTGAAGCTCAGCATTGATGGAAATGGCCAATTCCCGCCCAACTAATTACATGGCGTACACATTTCTGGAATTTCGGGAATCAGGAATTGATTACAAAAAGAACTTCGGGAATCAGGAATTGATTACAAAAAGAATTTCGGGAATCGGGAATGCTTGCTTGGACATCAGGAATTGAAACAATGTCGGGAATACGGGTGCCACGTCAACTTTTGTGTCCCAGAAGCGACTTGCAGCAAAAAAAATATTGTATTCCGAGCGGCAGAAAAATATTCAGCGTGGGAAAAAAAAATAAATATTACGCGAACGAAACTCTGAGGGAAAACGGCGCCGCTGTTCACTGCGTGAAACAATTTGGTACGTACGAAGCTTTCTGGGAAAAGCTACCTGAACGAAATTTTGTGGAACAGTAATGCCGAATTTAAAACAAATTTAGAAGGAATAATATTGGGCGAGGATAAAAATTATTAAACTTAGAAATAAATTTGGTAAGAAGTGAATATATTTAAATCAGGAAGAAATGAGTAGGAAATTGAGTAATTATGAAATAAAACTGTAGTTAGGAACATATATCTAATAAAGCAATTTGGAGAAACAATTAATCAATAAAATTAATCAAAAATGAATATTCATTTGTGAAGCAAAAGATTTTTTTTATGGAATAAGACAAGACAAAATTTCACTTGTTGGATAAATTGAACGTTAAAAATGTGTTAATAAAATACAAGAGGGAAATTCAATCAATATTTACGGCCAATCAATAACCCATTAACGAAAAAAAAAATAAAAAATATTAATAAATAAGGGCAGCAGTAAACCGAGAAAATGGAAACGAACAAAAGCGCACACCAGACAAAGCCTCGGCCGCCACGTACACACGCACGCACACAGCTACTTACACACCACACATGTGCACAAAATGGACGTGGCAAGCGTCAAGATATACAGACTGTACCGAGTGATACACCTGGTACAGTCGTAGTGTACAGTCGTACAGTGTACAGTCGTACAGTGTACAGTCGTACACTGTACAGTCGTGCAGTGTACAGTCGTACAGTGTACCGTCGTACAGTGTACAGTCGTACAGTGTACAGTCGTGCAGTGTACAGTCGTACAGTGTACAGTCGTACAGTGTACAGTCGTAGTGTACAGTCGTACAGTGTAGTCGTACACAGCTACTTACACACCACACATGTGCACAAAATGGACGTGGCAAGCGTCAAGATATACAGACTGTACCGAGTGATACACCTGGTACAGTCGTACAGTGTACAGTCGTGCAGTGTACAGTCGTACAGTGTACAGTCGTACAGTGTACAGTCGTGCAGTGTACAGTCGTACAGTGTATAGTCGTGCAGTGTACAGTCGCGCAGTGTACAGTCGTGCAGTGTACAGTCGTGCAGTGTACAGTCGTGCAGTGTACAGTCGTGCAGTGTACAGTCGTACAGTGTACAGTCGTACAGTGTACAGTCGTTCAGTTACAAGTACAGTGTACAGTGACTGAGCGAGCTACATGTACACTATACAGTGACTGTAGCGAGCTACATGTACACTGTACAGTGACTGTAGCGAGCTACATGTACACTGTACAGTGACTGTAGCGAGCTACATGTATACTGTACAGTGACTGTAGCGAGCTATATGTACAGTGTACAGTGACTGTAGCGAGCTACATGTACACTGTACAGTGACTGTAGCGAGCTACATGTACACTGTACAGTGACTGTAGCGAGCTACCTGTACACTGTACATTGCCCGTAGCGAGCTACATGTACACTGTACAGTGACTGTAGCTAGCTATATGTACACTGTACAGTGACTGTAGCGAGCTACAGCAGCAGGCAGGTAGCTACACGTAGCGCCTACGGATTGCTTAGGCCTATAGCCCCCCCACCCCCGCCCCCCCTAAGGCACCCATGTACTGCACTCTTCATTAAAAAAAAATTTACCTTATTTTTAATTCAATTAAATTTTAAAGAAATTAAAGAACTCGTTAAAAAATTTCACATCTCATTAAGAACTTCATGAACTCATTAAGAAGTTATTGAACCCAATAAAAACTTCCTAAACACCTTAAAAACTTTTTGAACTCATTAAGAAGTTATTGAGCTCATTAAAAATTCCTAAACTCCTTAAAAACTTCTGGAACTAATTAAGAAGTTATCAAACTTAATTAGAACTCCCTGAACTCAATAAGAACATAAACTCCTTAAAAATGTCTTGAACTCATTAAGAAGTTATTAAACTCATTTAAAACTTCCTAAACTCCTTAAAAATGTCTTGAACTCATTAAGAATGTTTCGAACTTAATTAGAAGTTTAGAACTCCCTGAACTCAATAAGAACTTTCTTGAACTCATTAAAATTACCCAAAGCAACTTAAGAACCTTGGGAAAACTATACCTAACTCATTAAGAACTCCTTGAACTCGTTAAGAAAAACTCACACAAAGTCAACAACTGCCGAACTCATTAAGAACTCCTTTAATTAGCATTAAACTTTTCATATATAACCACGTTAATTATCAGAAAAAGCCTTAAATTAAATAAAAAAATATGTGAAAAATTTCTGTAATTTGTTACAAACTTGCGACAATAATTCTCATAGGCAACACCCCCTCCCCCACTCCCCCCTACCCAAAGTAGGAGTGGGGGGAGGGAAGTAGGAGAGGGGGGAGCGGGTAGTATACGGCCTGAACGAAACAATATGGAAACACGGCAGGGGAAAGCGAACGAAATTCGTAGCAGCGCGCGACGAAACACAATGAAACGTTGCAGTCAATAGCGGCGAACGAAACTCAGAGGGAGCGACATCCCGAAAAGAGGGATTCTAATTTTAGGAAATATTGAAATATGAGGGATCGCGGGGGTAGGGATGACCCCCCCCTCACCCCCACGTGAGGGGGAGAGGGATCTGAGATTAAAGTATACAAATATAAGGAAATAATATACAAAATTCATGAAATTACATTTAAATAAATATTTATAGAATTATTGTGGAAAATCTTATAGGTCTAGGGAGTCGGGGGAGGGGGGGGCAAGCACATCTCCCCCTCTCCCTCCTCCCCTCGAGGGGGGCAGCTCGAGAGGATGCAGGATTGAATCAATAAGTCTTGCTGGTGATTACAAATCTTAAATTACTTAATACTTATCAAGAATACCTTTAGAATAATAACTTTATAATCATTCAAATACCATTAGAATAATAACTTTATTATCATCCAGAATACCATCACAATAATAATTTAATTGTAATCCAGAATACCATTAGAGTGATGAACATAGCCATAAATTTAAATAATAAAGTTCAAACGACCATAAATTTAGACTTTACAATTTAAATAGTCAGCAATTTAAATATTATGGTTCATGTGACCATAAACTTCTTTTTTAGGGCAAAAACCATAATTTTAGATTTCGTAGTTCTAATGATCGCAAATTTAGTTATTATAATTCAAATAACCATCAATTTAGATATTATAATGCAAATAACAATAAATTTAGATATTATAGTCCAAATAACCATAAATTTGGACATCGTAGTTCAAATAACCATAAATTACGACAAATTAATCACCTGAACGTAAATTTAGAACTAAGGTCCACATTAATTTGAAACCCACTTCTCCTCCCCTGCCCTCCTTCCACACCACTCCTCCCCCCTGCCCCGACTCCCAATCCCCTCCCCCTCCCCGGCGAGCGTGTCGCTGAGTTTCGTTCAGGTCGATCGCACTTCTTTCACATTCGTTCACCGCACGGAATCATGAATGTTCTCATTCATGAGTGAATAAATTATTTTTCATTGATTCATTACAATTATTAAAACAAGTGATGGATTAATTAATAAATTTCGTTTGTTATTGCATGACTGGAGCTGAGTAAATAGGTATTATTTATATTGCGTAGAACGCAGCAATTTGAAACAGGACGTTAATATTTGAATGTGAACTAGGGACCAAATATATTTTATTCATGCAAAACGAGAATTAAAAAACGTGCAAATAAATTAATTTTATCGATATAATTAGTATTACATCTAATTATAACGCAATAATTTAGGATACTTGATTAAATATTATTTTGAAATGTATAAATAATTTACAGTGAACATCGACAAAACCAAATTCATGAACTTGTTAGCAAAATTCACGTGAATGACCATGAATGCATTCACCATACAACGTGAATTATGAATAAGTGGTAAATGAGAAAACAAATGAGACGGCGGTGACATTTAGTGATAACAATCATTGCTGATAATGATTGATATCACCAATAATCGAGCGACAAAAATCAGCGCAGTTATCACTGGTAACAATCATTGCTGCCTTGTTATCACAGATAAAAATCATTGCTGCTGCTTGGTTATCACTGATAACAATCATTGCTGCCTTGTTATCAGTGATAACAATCATCGCTGCCTTGTTATCAGTGATAACAATCATTGCTGCCTTGTTATCACAGAAAACAATCATTGCTGCTGCTTGGTTATCACTGATAACAAGCATTACTGCCTTGTTATAACTGATAACAATCATTGCCACTTGTTTATCATAAATAACAATCATTGTTGCTTGTTATCACTGATAACAGTAATTTCTGCCTGTTGTCGTTGATAACAATCATTGCTGCTTGTTTATCACAGACAACAATCGTTGCTGCTTGTTATCACTGATAACAATCATTGCTGCTTCTTTATCACTGATAACAATCATTGCTGCTTGTTAACACTGATAACAATCATTGCTGCTTGATTATCACTGACAACAATCGTTGCTGCTTGTTATCACTGATAACAATCATTGCTGATTCTTTATCACTTGTTTATCATAAATAACAATCATTGCTGCTTGTTATCACTGATAACAGTAATTTCTGCCTGTTGTCGTTGATAACAATCATTGCTGCTTGTTTATCACAGACAACAATCGTTGCCGCTTGTTATCACTGATAACAATCATTGCTGCTTCTTTATCACTGATAACAATCATTGCTGCTTCTTTATCACTGATAACAATCATTGCTGCTTGTTAACACTGATAACAATCATTGCTGGTTGATTATCACTGACAACAATCGTTGCTGCTTGTTATCACTGATAACAATCATTGCTGATTCTTTATCACTGATAACAATCATTGCTGCTTGATTATCACTGATAACAATCATTGCTGATTCTTTATCACTGATAACAATCATTGCTGCTTGATTATCACTGATAACAATCATTGCTGCTTGTTATAACTGATAACAATCATTGCTGCTGCTTGGTTAGCACAGATAACAATCATTGCTGCTTGGTTAGCGCTGATAACAATCATCATTGCCTTGTCATTACTGACAACAATCATTGCTGCCTGGTTATCGCTGCTTCGCTATCGCTGATAACAATCACTGCTGCCTTGTTATCCCTGATAACAATCATTGCTGCTTGTTATCACTGATAACAATCACTGCTGCCTTGTTATCCATGATAACAACCACTGCTGCCTTGTTATCTCTGATAACAATCACTGCCGCTTGTTATCACTGATAACAATCATTGCTGCTTGTTATCACAGATAACAACCATTGCTGCTTGTTATCATTGATAACAATCATTGCTGCTTGATTATCACTGATGCCTAACAATAATTGCTGCTTTGTTATCATTGATAACAATCATTGCTGCTTGTTATCACTGATAACAATCATTGCTGCTTGTTATCACAGATAACAACCATTGCCGCTTGTTATCACATAACAATCATTGCCGCTTTGTTTTCACTGATAACAATCACTGCTGCCTTGTTATCTCTGATAACAATCACTGCCGCTTGTTATCACTGATAACAATCATTGCTGCTTGGTTATCACTGATAACAATCATTGCTGCTTATTATCACTGACAACAATATTTGCTGCTTGTTATCACTGATAACAATCAATCATGGGTGCTGATGAAGGCGCCGGCGCCGTTCATCTGCAGTCAGGAAGTGAACGAAACAAAACGAAACTTCGGCGAGCGTCGCCCGTACGAAACATTCTGACACACGGCGCACTCACCTTACTACTTTACTACTTGCTGTCGTATTTTACTACTTGCTGTCGTGCTTTACTACTTGCTGTCGTGCTTTACTACTTGCTGTCGTGCTTTACTACTTGCTGTCGTGCTTTACTACTTGCTGTCGTGCTTTACTACTTGCTGTCGTGCTTTACTAC